TGATCCTTCAGAAATCATTCTAATATGCTGATTTGGTGCTCATTTGTATCTGTTATTATTAATGCTCAATTATTAGCCTAATAATGGTTCTTATTATCAGTGGAGCTTCTAATATTTTTGTGGAAACAATGACGCATTCAATTCAGGATTCTCTTTTTAATAGAAAGTACAAAAGAACACCATTTGTTTGAAATAGAAATTGTGTGTAACATCATAAATGTCTTTACTGTCACTTTTGATCCATTTATTGAATTCAAGTATCAATTTCTTTTTTTCTCCACTTTTTTTTAATTACTTACCCCAAAGTTTTGTAGCGTATCAAAAAGTGTTAAATCAGTTTTTAACATAAATAATAATAAGGAATGTCACCCTTGACCACAAAACCAGTCATAAGGGTCTTTTTTATTATTATTAAGATGAATATATAAGCTTTCCACTGATGTATGGTTTGTTAGGATAGGACAATATTTGGCCGAGATGCAACTAGTTGATAATATGGAATCTGAGGGTGCAAAAAAAATCTAAATGTTGAGAAAATTGCATTTAAAGTTGTCCAAATTAAGTTCTTAGCAATGCATATTAATAATCCAAAATTAAGTTGTGATATAGTAGGAAATTTACAAACGATCTTTATTTAGTATCCTAATGATTTTTGACATAAAAGAAAAATAGATCATTTTGACCCATACAATGTATTGTTGGCTATTGCTACAAATATACCTGTGTTATGACTGCTTTTGTGCTCCAGGCTCACACATATTTCTTCAGCATATTAGAATGATTTCTGAAGGATCATGTGACACTGAAGACTGCAGTGCAGTGATGATGCTGAAAATGCAGCTTTGCATCACAGGAATAAATTACATTTCAAAATATATTCAAGCAGGACAGCAAGGCACAGGCGCCACACTTCCCCAAACCCAAAGACGAAGGCTGGTTTCTTGTTCTCGGGGAGGTGGAGAAGAAAGAACTGCTGGCTCTCAAACGTGTGGGATTTATACCCAACCACAGCAGCGTGTCCGTGGCCTTCTACACCCCTGAGAGGATGGGGAAGTAAGAGTCGTCTGCTGCTGCTCTGATGGCATGTTTTCTGTAGTACCTACAGTCTTAATGTGTGACTCCTCCTCTAGGTGTATCTACACTCTAAAAAATGCTGGGTTAAATACAACCCAGTGCTGGGTAAAATAGGGACAAACCCAGCAATTGGGTTGTTTTGACCCAGTGGTTGGGTTACTACCAAGAAGGTTGGGTTAAACATTTAACCCAACCGCTGGGTCAAAATTTTTTATGTATTTAACCCAGCATTTTTTAGAGTGTACACGCTGTACCTGATAAGCGACAGCTACCTCGGTCTGGATCAGCAGTATGGCATCCTCCTGAACGTCATCCCAGCCAGCATTGATGCGCAAGTCAACAGCGAGATATCAGGCAGGCACTGAAGTAACCTCATGCTTAGTCAAAACTAAACCAAAGTTTCCCTCTTAGCTTGGGATGTTAATTTGATGAACAATTCTTCAATTCGTCTTGTGAGTTTTAGAAAAAACTACACTGATTTTTTTTTTTTTTTGGTTCAATTAAACATGATTAGAAGATCTGGCCCAAACAGTCTATTTACCCATAGATTTCATATCTAAGGAAAGAGAGATCAGATGGCTGTAATAGATTCAAGAGGAACCTTCTAGATCAGCCTCATCTGTTTCTCAGACGGTCCTGCCTTATTACTCTTTTGATTCTTATTTTGTACTTTTTTTAGTTCACCTGAAACATTCTCCATTACATTTTAGGGCAAACGCTATATTTTAGTATATGCTTCTAAATTATGGAAATGTTCAGTATGAAAATCAATTTTGTTAAATATATCAAATAAATAAAACATGCAGCACAATTGTTTTCATTCTTTCCTAAGTGTTATTGTTTTATTAGTATTAGTGGATGTTGAGGTTTGACTGAAGCAAACAATAATTTTGATCATGATCATTTGCAAAATTATTAATTATGTTCTAGAAATAAAGTGGCTTTAAGATCAGACAAGACATCATCTCTGACAAATGTATATATATATATATATATATATATATATACTGTATATATATATAGGCTTGCTTAAAACTTTTAAATAGGCCGTTTTATTTTGCTGTCTCTAACACTATAATTAAAAATCCTAATTGTTTTAAAGCATTCATTTATTGCCAGTGGTTTCCCCTACTGAGGACTTCATATATTGCAAAGTATTTTCGATTGTTCTCTTTTCCACTGACGCCGTTTAATCAGCAGCAAATTCAGGTTTTAGGAAAAGGTTAAAGCAGCATCAAGCGTTTCGTGTGCAGGGGACATCCTCTCTGATTTTCTCCTGCTGCAGGTGATTTCCTATTACAGACACAGACTGCTGCCCTCCTGAGATGCGCACACACACAAAAAAAAGAGCTTTTGGCATTCTGATGTTTTGCATCAACATTTGCTGCATTAAAAAAATGTTGGTTTTTCAACCCTTAAAGTTATGATTTTAATTCCTTATCATAGTAGCACAATAAATATTTCATCATATTGATATTAAAAAAATGCCAGGACTAAAACAGTGGTTGTATCTATATAACATAAGAACTATTAAGAAAACGAAAGTCTACCACGGTGGACAAAATTGCTGGCTCTTTATTCAACAGGGAAGCAGAGTGGGATTTACTCCTATAATCACTTATTTCGGTTTCCCTCTGAATCAATACTGTTGTTTTCTTTCAAGGATCTGCCTGCTTGATTTTGCTGTATTTATATTGCTGCAGAATCCTTTAGTTAAAGCTTAAGAAAATAGGACCATGTTATGTATATGTATTGCATATTTATAGATAGGCTATGCAGTTTTAAATATTTGCACGTTTAAGTATACATTGCGTTTATATTTGTATGTTGGATATTTTAGTTAAGTCTGTTTCCATGCACAAATAAGAGATAGATAGATAGATAGATAGATAGATAGATAGATAGATAGATAGATAGATAGATAGATAGATAGATAGATAGATAGATAGATAGATAGATAGATAGATAGATAGATAGATAGATAGATAGTGAACTTTAAATGCAAATATTATTCATAGTGCGTTACGGGTCAGGGGTCAGCATTTCTAACAAATCGGGATTTCACATGGAGCGGCCGCTAGTGAATGGGATCCAATGGGAAAATCCTGTCTGGTCATTCAGTGTCCAATGAGCTGAGCTCAGGGGGAGGGTCCGTGTGCTGCTCAGTCAGAAAGAGACTTCAACAAACTCTCCTCCAAACAAGATCCTTCTGGATACAACGATGCCATGTTTCCTGTGGAATTCGGCGTGAATTAACGCGTGAACGCAGCTCTGGATATTTCTCGTTGTGGAGTTATGAACTTATGAAGACGATGCAAGTTTGCAGTGTGGTCTGATGTGAGGTACGTGCAAGTTTCAGCCTATTGAAACGTAAAAGTTATACTTATGCAAAATATGGAAATTATAAATGCGATGTAATCAAATACATTCAATGACATCGAACATGAATGGATACGGAGTAGATAGCCTACCTGCAAACAGAAAATGCGTAGTTTAGTCCATCGTAAATGTAAATTTAATAAGAATAAATAAAGGTTTTGATATGGTATTTCAAAAGTTAGAGCGCTCTCCGTAAAAAAGAGAAGTGAACGTGCGGTCTGCTGTTTTCCAGGAATATTCTGCGCTTCTGTTGGTTGGATGGATGGAACTTCCTTCATGAAGAGATTCTGGGCCCGGGTGGATTTCATGTGTGTGTGAAATAAGACTCACGGCGGATGAAACAAACTAATCATAACCATGAAGCTCTGTTCGTCTCGCATCTGCGTGTAAGACTTCTCAGGAACCTCTGGGAACTGGCGATGGCAGGAACGCTTTCAGGACGTCTCTGAAACCTTCCCATGTTGGTGAAACTGCTCGAGACCTCACGCATGCGGTTGAGTTTGTGTTGTGGAGAGATTGAAGCGCACAGCAGAAGGGTCTGAGACACCTGTCAGTGACAGCGAGCATGAAGGAGAAGTCGAAGAACGCGGCGCGGACGCGGCGGGAGAAGGAGAACAGCGAGTTCTATGAGCTGGCCAAACTGCTGCCTCTGCCCTCGGCCATCACCTCACAGCTGGACAAAGCCTCCATCATCAGACTCACCACCAGCTACCTGAAGATGAGGATCGTCTTCCCAGAAGGTGCATCAGTCATTACCCTTGCATAACAAATACGACATGTTTTGGACATCATCGTCTGCGTATAGACGGTATCTGTAAATAATTCATTCATTTTGCGAAGCTTAACATCATTATTAGTGTTCTTGTCGACTAGGTTATAATAATAATAAATATACAAATATTATTGCTACTGTTTATTATTATTAGTAGTAGTAGTAGTAGCTGTAGTTAGGCTACTAAATTATTAACAATTACACTCTAAAAAATGCTGGGTTGTTTCAACCCAATGTTGGGTCAAATATGGATTTTGGTTACATTTTTAAATTAACTTTTTAACCCAACAGTTGGGTTAGTCCATATTTGACCCAAAATTGGGTTGAAACAACCCAACATTTTTTAGAGTGTAGGATATTATTATTGTAATAATTATTAAAACTGTATTATAGGCTGTTTGTTTGAAATTATTCTTTTGTTGCAAAAGTATGTTGATCTAGACACGTAGCTATCATTTAAAGGCCCTAAAGAACAACCATTTTTCTATAGGATTTCATGCACATAATTTGCAGAAAGCATAGGACCGAAATCAAACGTACACTCTAAAAAATGCTGGGTTGTTTCAACCCAATGTTGGGTCAAATATGGACTAACCCAACTGTTGGGTTAAATCTTGGTTACATTTTTAAATGAGCTTTAGTATGTTGATCTAGACACGTAGCTATAATTTAAAGGCCCTAAAGAACAACCATTTTTCTATAGGATTTCATGCACATAATTTGCAGAAAGCATAGGACCGAAATCAAACGTACACTCTAAAAATGCTGGGTTGTTTCAACCCAATGTTGGGTCAAATATGGACTAACCCAACTGTTGGGTTAAAAAGCTCATTTAAAAATGTAACCAAGATTTAACCCAACAGTTGGGTTAGTCCATATTTGACCCAACATTGGGTTGAAACAACCCAGCATTTTTTAGAGTGTAGCCTATTATCGGTATTAAAAGTGCGGTTTTAATAAAAAAACCGTTGTCTTTCTTTATGTATTCCTTCCCTTTCTAGCTTGTACTTATTTGAACAAATGCCTAAAACTTGGTATTACGAGCACTTATTGTGTCTGTTTGCCTCTTTAAGAAGAATCGCTTTATGTATCCCCCAATTGTAAGTCGCTTTGGATAAAAGCGTCTGCAAAATAAATGTAATAAATAAGACGTTTTAGAAGGCCTGTTCGTTTTTAAAAATGCAAACACGGAGCAAAAAAATGATGGTCGTTGCGGCCTGCCACCCCTGCCTCATTGCTGCAGCATTTTTTATTTCTTTCTTTTTATTTAGCCTACTTTATTTTATTATTATTGTTATTTTTATTAATTTTTTTTTAGTAAAGCTACAAATATATTTTTTAATTTTATATATAGGCTATATATAAAAGAACTGTATTAAAAGAACTGTATTTGAATGTAAGTGTAGTTCCCGACACTCCGACACTGATTATTCTGATTATTAGCGTTATTTTGCACCTTCTGTTCTGCGTGACTGAAGACAAACAGCGACTATTATCATACGTGATATCGGTAGATACATAGGTTACACGAAATTATTATTATTAATAATAAATAACATCAATAATAAAAACAAAACGATAAAAAGGCCAAATGCGAATCGCGAGTTTTGGGATATTGCATCACTCAGCACGGGTTTGAGACAATGTGACACATAAACACCGACATTTCATCAGTACCAAGCTCCTGAGGCTGAAACTGATCGTTTGTGTGTGACGAGTAATATCATGAAAAAAGACAACCTTAAAGAGTTTAAAAACAGCTTGACAGTCAGTTGCATTTTCGCCAATGCACGCGCGACTGTTTTTATTTCATAATTATTATTTAAATCATTTTTGTTTTGTATCTTCTGTGTTCTTATCCATGCTTAGGTCTCTTCAATTTTAATGATAGGCCTATTTACTGTTAAGTTATGTATTTCTAATAGAATGACTGTGATTAGCATGTTTGAAACCTGAAACGAATTGTCATCAAACGCGTCCGTCTTTGATAACAGATAAAGAGAAAGTGAGAAACATGAGTGAAGTAATACAGCAATATACTGATACTACTACATTTATATCGGTGTGAATTACGTGCATTTTCTCGGCTTGCAGTGCGTATATGCCAAGCGTATGGTAAAATACACTCTCTCTCTGTCTTGCCATATGATAGATAGGCATGTGCTTTACTCATTAGATTGTAAAGAAATGTTTTTAAACGTATCATGTGAATGAAACAGCTCGCCTAGGTTAAAGGTCAGAGAGGTCACGGTACAGACAGCTCACATGTAGTGCTGGAGGAAATGAGACAGTAAAGTTTTATTAGAAAATGAAGGAAGGTGAAGGTGGTTTTATGGTGGTTATTTATTGCTCGGCTGTGAAGAGAATAACTCTGACGGACACTGCTGTCAAATAATTGTCAAATATCCCAGTTTAATCGTTTAACTTCATGCAATAGGCGTTGTTTTCTGTTTTTATTCATTTAATTAATTAATTTATTTATTTAGTCATTTAGCAGACGCTTTTATCCAAAGCGACTTACAAATGAGGACAATAAAAGCAGTCAAAACTAACAAAAGAGCAACAATATATAAGTGCAAATGACAAGTCTCGGTTAGCCTAATATATATATACACATACACATACACATACACACACACACACGCTCAAAGATAAAGATAAAGATTGTGTTTTTGTAAAGAAAAAAAGAAAAAAAGAAGATAAATATAGATAAAGTAGAATTAAAATATAATAGAAAGTGCTAGAGTTAGAGGGTCAAATAAATAATGGTATTTTAGTAGCTAAGACTGTTTTTAGGGTTTTTCGCTCAGGTTTGGTTGTAGTATTTTTTTTTTTTTTCGTATAAAAATACAAATTTTTATTCGTAGATGCCTATTAGTGATTCCTCTTGGACGTAAAATCTGTTTTACAGTTATTCGAACATTTAAAAAAATGTCAGAAGCTTATTAATAACTATTGTTTACATTAGAGAATAACATAGGCATTTTTGTAATTTCGTTTGGGGGGGGGGGGGGCATTAGGGTTCATGTGCTTTGGATAATAGCGTCTGCTAAATGACTAAAAAAATAAAAATTAAAAAATGTGCTGGAATAAATGTCGGGCATGTGAAAAAAAAAGTAAAAAGTGTTATCAGCAGCGTCTAAAGAAACAGAAGAATTGTTTTAATATGAGTTTAGCTTCATTTTAAGTTTAGTTTTCTTGTATTGCAAGCACTTGAACCATCTCCGCTGGAGAGATGCAATTATGTATTCTTTTGTGTGAAGTTTTTTTTTTGTTTTGCTTTATTGGTTATGTAACGTTTATTATGTGACGAGCACCGCGGATATTCAGATCCAATCAGATCCAATCAGATCCAACAATTCCCCCGCGAAATATCACAACTTCTCTTTTCGCATTAGGATCTTCACACGTATGGAGAACGAAACCTGCAAAAACAATAAATAAATAAATACACAAATCAATAAATAAATAAATGTGTGCATAAATACACGTATTCTTGTTGAAATACATAAATAAATAATTATATATGTGATGAAAGCAGGCAAATAAATAATATAAAATGGTGGGCAAATGGAAAAGGTTTAAGGAAATGCTAAACTCATCCTAACTATTTTCCTTTGATCACTCATTTATTTCTGAATGTAGTTCCACTTTTTATTTTTCCTCTGCGCAACATGCTAATGAGAGGGTGTCAATTATGCAAGAGTAGGCAGATCGTGTGTGACACGCTTGAGCGTTTGTCTGCGCATGCCTATTAACTTCATCAGTCAAGGGGACTGATTATTATCTTACACTTTTTCATAGGGTTAGTTTTGTAGTTATAATCATGAGAGAGCTAAATCATAAAAGATTTTAAGTGGCCAATGTAAAATACTGTCTGTTCCTCGATTAAACCACTTCATACCAGTCATCTCACGATGACCATGGGATACTGATATTACAGTTGTCTGTAGCTGGAGACTCAATCGGGTTACAAAAAATGAGGTCAGGAAACGACACTGGCCATTTCTTTTGGTCGTTTGTGAAGTCACAGATACTGTACGGACAATACAGCTCAGTTTTTTTATGTATCTTGCTCTGTTAAACGGAAAAAGTGACTTTATGTAGGCCATACTGGATTAACACCATGCATCTCCTGTCAGCGGGAAAGGATTGTTTTCCCCATGCCGCGGCCCCAGCTATAACATGACCCCGAACAAGTCCATGGTTGACACCCTCTCATTAGCATGTTGCGCAGAGGAAAAATAAATGTGGAACTACATTCAGAAATAAATGAGTGATCAAAGGAAAATAAATAGGACGAGTTTAGCATTTCCTTAAACATTTTCCATTTGTCCACCAGTTTATTTTATTTATTTGCCTACTTTAATCACGTTTAATTATTTCTATATGTATTTAAACAAGATATTGTGTATTTATACAGACATTTATTTATTTATTTGCATTTTTATTTATTTATTTGTGTATTTATTTATTTATTGTTTTTGCAGGTTTCGTCCTCCATACACACGCGCTTTCCGCCCAATAACAATTATTATTTTGATTGAGAACAGTTATTACTGTTTCGACTATTTATTATTATTATTATTATTATTATTATTTAATAAACTAAATATTTTATCATGAGCTGTAATTAGAAAGCACAGTCTCAGTGGTCGAATGAATTGTGGCTTTCACGCCGTCTTAATCTTAAAACATTTGATCCGTTGATCATTTTAAAAACAGCAAGAGAAAAGTTGCTTTTTTATGATCTGTCGGTTTGATAAGAACGCAGTGAAACATGTTTCCACGGGATATTTTTCCGAGCGGTTAGGCTATTCTGGAAGAATGTGGTTCTCTTAGGGAGAGCTGTTGAGAAGTCATGCGATTGTTTCTGCTGGATAAACGCGGAGTCCATGTTTGTTTAATATTAAAATGGAATCAGAGCTTTTGCTTTCATCTGACGTTTGTTTTCGTGTGATTTGCATTTCAATAAGGATTGTGTGTGTGTCAGACTGTTTGCTTTATCGAGTTTCTCCGCCATCAGAAATACTCCTCATTTACATTCAGCGTGTTTACAGTCAGTTCGGTGTTCAAATATTGACTAACTGATCGTCACATGATGATAGACTATTATTTTTGTTGTGGTATTTTTTTGTGTGTGTGCTGTTGTTATAGATTTTTTTCCCCCCGGTCAAAACGAATTTCATATTAGAGACATTTTATTAGGTTTTGTTAGCTCTTTCAGTACCCCGATGTATTGTCATATATGTAAGTCTCATCATGTTCTCCCCTTATTTTTATTTGTAATAATCTGCGGTGTTTTCTGAACGCTCCGCAGGTCTCGGGGAATCTTGGGGCCATGTGAGTCGAGCGAGTTCTCTGGACAATGTGGGCCGAGAGTTAGGATCACATCTGCTTCAGGTACACACTTTAAAATGCTGTACTTGCTTAGTATTTATTATTATTTAGGTCTAATAATTAATATTCTAAAAAGTCTGGTATCTGAAACTATTCTATCGTACTTTATAGATCTACTTAGAATTCGTCTTACAGTTTTGAACTTACATTTTTTTATGATAAGCATTAACTCGTCTAAATACCAATGTTTGTCATTCGTTGCAAGTGTTTCTTGCGAAGATTTTGTTTGTATGATATTTCATAATTCACTTCAATTTGTATAAGTGCTTCCTGCATCTTTTTTTTTATATTTGTACTTATTGTAATATGAAAGCTTAATTGATATTTCATAATTCACTTCAATTTGTATAAGTGCTTCCTGCATCTTTTTTTTTATATTTGTACTTATTGTAATATGAAAGCTTAATTGATATTTCATAATTCACTTCAATTGTTATAAGTGCTTCCTGCATCTTTTTTTATATTTTTACTTATTATTACTGTTTCGACTATTTATTATTATGATTATTATTGTTATTATTATTATTATTTAATAAACTAAATATTTTATCATGAGCTGTAAAGAAAGCACAGTCTCAGTGGTCGAATGAATTGTGGCTTTCACGCCGTCTTAATCTTAAAACATTTGATCCGTTGATCATTTTAAAAACAGCAAGAGAAAAGTTGCTTTTTTATGATCTGTCGGTTTGATAAGAACGCAGTGAAACATGTTTCCACGGGATATTTTTCCGAGCGGTTAGGCTATTCTGGAAGAATGTGGTTCTCTTAGGGAGAGCTGTTGAGAAGTCATGCGATTGTTTCTGCTGGATAAACGCGGAGTCCATGTTTGTTTAATATTAAAATGGAATCAGAGCTTTTGCTTTCATCTGACGTTTGTTTTCGTGTGATTTGCATTTCAATAAGGATTGTGTGTGTGTCAGACTGTTTGCTTTATCGAGTTTCTCCGCCATCAGAAATACTCCTCATTTACATTCAGCCCACTTCGTCCACGGTGAGACATCCACTGAACACCTTCACACGCAAACCGATTCATCTTCCTCTCAAACCGTTCCTTCACCGTCTTCTGCTTCCTGTTCTTTTTCTAGAATATGAAATGGAAAGATCTTTTTTCCTGAGAATGAAATGCGTCCTTGCTAAAAGAAACGCTGGCTTGACGTGTGGCGGTTACAAGGTAAGCCATTATAGTTGCATTCTTTTTTTGATGTGTGGTGTTTAATCCACAGCTGCATAAACATATATTCATTATATACAGTTTTTAATATATCTTCCTTCATTGTGTAGATATTGTGCCCAATATGCATCATATTTTAAAACATTAGCAATGACAAATATAAAGAATGCAAGCCAAGGCAAAGAATATTTACATCTGAGCCATAATATAAGATAGCATAGATCACAGATGCAGTGAACTATAATACAGACACGTGCGTGTGTGTGTGTGTGTCTGTGTGTATGGCCATGAGCTCCGACAGGTAATTCACTGCAGCGGCTATCTGAAGGTCCGTCAGTACAGCTTAGACATGTCTCCGTTCGACGGCTGTTATCAGAATGTGGGTCTGGTGGCTGTTGGTCACTCTCTCCCCCCCAGCGCAGTAACCGAGATCAAGCTCCACAGCAATATGTTCATGTTCAGAGCCAGCCTGGACATGAAACTCATTTTCCTGGACTCCAGGTACCATGTGTTTATGTGCTTCTACAAATTGCTGTGTTGGTAATATAGGCAATGGAGACCAAAGGCCTGAGACTATGAATAAAAATACTTTTTCTGTTTTTTTTTTTTGCATTTTGCAATTTTTAGTTACAGATTATTTTATCAGCATACCAATTTGAATAATCGGAATTTTTTTAAATTCTAAGTTAAACATGAATACCAAAATGTTTCTCAGTGTTTTTTGCCATTTCACCTTTTGGCATACATTTAAGCTGCCATGAACAAAACCTGATGAAAATGTTCTCCAATGTTCCAGAGATCATCTTTGTACAAAGGAGAGTACATGATGGCACTAAATTGCTTGCATTTGATAAGTGACCAAAAAAAAAGGAGGAATATTCAGTGTGTTATTAATTTTATGTCATAGAGACCGAATAAGGCTCAATATCAGAATCCTCCATATGTACACTACCGGTCAAAAGTTTTGGAAGACTTGTGATGTTTTTTAAAGTTTCTTATGCTCATCAAGGCTGCATTTATTTGATCAAATACAGCAAAAAACAGTAATCTTGCAAAATGTTATTACGATATAAAATAATGGTTTCTATTTTAATATCCTTTAAAATATAATTTATTTCTGTGATGCAAAGCTGAATTTCCATCAGCCATTACTCCAGTCTAAAGTGTCACATGATCCTTAAGAAATCATTCTAATATGCTGATTTATTATTAGAATTATCAATGTTGGCAACAGTTGTGCTGCAAAATATTTTTTAGGAAACTGCAATACTTTTTTCAGGATTCTTTGATGAATAAAATGTTAAACAGAACAGCATTTATTAAAAATATAAATCGTTTCTAACAATATAAATCTTTGCTATCACTTCTTATTAATTTAACATATCCTTGCTGAATAAAAGTTTTAATTTCTTAAAAAAAAAAGGTTTGAACGGTAGTGTATATTGTTAGAAAATATTTCTATTTTAAATAAATGCCCTTCTTTTTAACTTTTTATTCATCAAAGAATCCTGAAAAAAAGTATCACAGGTTCCAAATTATATAAGCATATTAAGCAGCACAACAGTTTCCAGCACTGATAATAAATCAGCATATTAGAATTATTTCTGAAGGATCATGTGACACTGAAGACTGGAGGAATGATGCTGAAAATTCAGCTTTGCATCACAGGAATAAATTAGATTTTAATGTATATTAAAATAGAAAAATGTTATTTTACATCGTAATAATATTTCACAATATCACATTTTTTACTGTATTTTTGATCAAATAAATGCAGCCTTGATGAGCATACGAAACTCCTTTAAAAAACATAAAAAAATATTCTGATCCCAAACTTTTGAACGGTAGTGTATATTTAATTGCATTTCATAATCTTTCTCTAAATTAATGAATGGATGAATGAACGAATTAATGAATGAAAGAACGAATGAACGAATTAATGAATGAATGAATTTTAAAAAATTGATTTTCAGTGTGGTATCTGAACCTTCTTGTCTGTGCATGTATGCCTCTATGACATAACCATTATTTAAATAAACAAAATAAAATTAAAAAAGTATATTTGCAGTTTTCAGTGTGATCTCAGACCTTTGGACACTATATATATATATATATATATATATATATATATATATATATATATATATGTATATATAAATAATTTTCAAAGCACCAAATTCTTGTCTGTGTGTCTGTGCACGTGTGCCTCTGTGATTGTGTAAATGCAAAATCCATATTCCACTCTCTGTGTGCATATGCAGCTGTGTTTAGCTAGACACACATGCATGTTTGCACATTGAGCTTACGTTTAACCAAATTTGTCCTGTTCCTGCACGTGCCAGTGTGTGGACAGGTGTTTGTGCTCACGCCAACACCATTGTTACTCCGTTCTGTGTTCTGTGTTTGTCAGGGTTGCGGAGCTCACTGGCTACGAGCCGCAAGACTTAATAGAGAAGACACTTTATCATCACGTCCACAGCTGTGACACTTTCCATCTCCGCTGCGCGCACCACTTGTGTGAGTTAGGTTTGTTTTTCCTCATTCCTCTGGCCAAGTCCCCTTTACAGCATCTAATAATAACCGCAGCTTTGACCGTCATGAGGGTACAACTGAGCGCGGTAATTGATAATACCACGTTATAGGAGATGAATATGATCTCAACATACTGATATGAGAACGAGTTTAGATTAAACGTGCAATCTATTAGTGACTAAATTAATGAACCGGATTGAAAATGATTTTTTTTCACAATGACACAATTTTCTATTATCTACTGTTTCATCTATTACATTGCTGATTGCAGCACAATGCAGCTTATTAAGAGACACAGTATTTGCCATTATTTGCTATAAATAGTTATTAGGCTGAAAGAGAAATGGCAGTTTATGGTTTAAACATGCAAATGAAAGCAGTAATTAGCTTTCCTGAATAAGAAAGATTGGCAAAAAAAAAAAAATCCCAATGTTGCTGATGGAAATAAACAACAAATTAATGAATAGTTTTTTTTTTCATTTTGTTTTGCAAAAGAAGAGTATGTGAAGTGAAAGTGTCAGACATGTTCTCTAATTGATTGCGCGTGTTTTTCTCTCTGTAGTGCTGGTAAAAGGACAAGTCACCACCAAATACTACCGGTTCCTGGCTAAGCAGGGTGGGTGGGTGTGGGTACAGAGTTACGCTACTATCGTACACAACAGCAGATCGTCCAGACCACACTGCATCGTCAGCGTCAACTACGTCCTCACGTGAGTACACTATGCAAAGCTTTTTATGCCTCTTCAAATATGTATCTTCAAAACAGCTTGATATCTTTATACACTGTTGTTTAATTGTCATCAATTAAATTCAGATAATGAACATTGATTTCTATGCAAGGCTATAAATTCATTTATTTATTATCATTTTCATAGTTTATTTTTTGAAAACTTTTGTATTTGTAACCCCTAGTTTTTGTGCTTCACTGTTTGCATTATTAATAGCCTGTATAAAGAATATAACCCCCTGATGTGTAGTAGGTATTTGTAATTACAATTTACAATAACTGTTTTCTATTTTAATATATTTTGAAATCTAACTTATTCATGTGATGGCAAAGCTGAATTTATCAGCAGCCATTGCTGCAGTCTTCAGCGTCCCAGAAATCCATTCTAATATGCCAATTTGCTGCTCAAGAAACATTTCTTATTATTATCAATGTTGAAAATGGTTTTGTTTTTTCAGGATTCTATGATGAATAGAAAGTTAACATTATACAAGTCTGTATTGTCAATCTTGATCAATTTCTGAATAAAAATATCAATTTCTTGAAAAGAAATCTTACTGACTCCCAACTTTTAAACAGTAGTGTATATGCAAGCAAATTTATATTTTCAAATTAACCAATGTACTTCCACAATAACATAGGACACTTAAATGGAAAATAAAACCGAATAGTTAAGTTTAGGTATGGTGTAGAATTAAGAGATCTACAATATGGTCATGCAGAATAAGGTATTAATATGTGCTCTATAACTACTAATAAACAGCCAATATGCTAGTAATATGCATGCTAATAAGCAACTAGTTAATAGTGAGAATTGGCCTAAACTAAAGTGTTACCACTTAAACTACAGTATACCCTCTAAGTGTTCAATAATGCAATTCCATACACATACTTGAATCCAGTTGTACATGACTAACATGCATGCAGTGTATTAGGCAAAAGTGTAGTATCCCATATCATTTCTTAAAGCTTCTGTCTACAGTTGTGTTGAATTGTCCACATTATTCCACTATTACACAGCTAAAAGGCCTCTCTCAGTGAATTACAACTAACAATAGGTTCAGTACAATATCATTAAGGTTCAAATTGATGGTGATCGCAAGTCCAGCCATGACAGTGACCGAGCGAGTTAAAGCTGCCCTGATGCTCATCAGTCAGTTCGGGGTGTCATTCCTGTTCTTGCTTTATATAATATGCCAGCTGCATGTACAGGAACTGCATGGGAGCCAGGGGACGTGGGTGATTTATTTGTCATGCATTCATACTGACAAACTCTGTGCATTACCACAAAGAACTTTTCCACTGGAACTCTCTGGAAAGAATGAGGTGGGATTGAGCAATGGAGCCATCACTCAAACTACGGTTTTAAACGAGGGACGTATGGAAGAGTAAAGCATAGCGTTTGTGCACACACTTCCAGAGAGCCCATTAGAAGTGATGCCAGCATCTGGAGCATCGACCCCCCCACCCCCAGCCTCGCTCGTTCTGCCTCCTTTGCTATCTATCTGTTACAGATGTAAATGAATTGCGCGCTATAAAAACCTTCATTAAAACAAAGTTGATTGGTTTTAATATGCCAGTCTGCCATTAGCCCGCGCGTGTCAGATAGCACTTCAGCCACAGCTATAAAGGAAAAGTGTTTATGAGGTTTAATTAATAGGTTGTAAAGATGATGAGTGTTTATAGCTCACAGCTTGCTAAGAGTGTCCATGAATGGAGTTCTCTCTTTTTTTGGTGATATTCTCCGCCATCATCCATGATTCAGTTTCCTTGAGAAGAATGATTTCCTTAAAAGTGTGTGTTGCAGTGTAGACATCACAAGTGCGAGATCTGTTTCCTGTTTAACCTCTCCACATGTGCTCTCATTCAGAAATGCACAGCTAGTCTTTAGTGAGAAAAGGAAGCGAGGTGGATATGTCTGGCGACTTATCGTGTTGTTATCAGAGTCTACTCACACGGGATGTGAGGTGTGAAATGAGATTGTGTGTGTGTGTGAGAGAGAGAGAGAGAGAATTGTGGCTGAGCTGAATGAGATTGTGTGTATGCGCTAAACCACTGACACCGGTTGCATCACCTTAAGGCTTTTGGCTTCTGTCGACAGGCCTTGAACTCAGAAAAACTCTGTGTTTACATAGAGTGTACAACGACGCCATCAACTTCATGAGATCCCGTGGATCTGCGAGTGCATTTGTGCAGGTGCATGTGAGAAAGTGTATGTCGGTCTTTTTCCAAGATGTTGCCATCTGCGTGCAATCCCATTAGTTTGTGTGCTGTCTGAGCCAGGCTGCTAGCCCTTAGGAGGGAAGCTGGCGTCGGCGCCTGGCTAGCATACGCTCTAGCCGTTGTTTTCTGAAAGTTATACATCACTGGGAACAGAAATCCATATAGCACTTTACTGAGAAATCAATTCCCATTTCCTAGTTATGCCTTATGTGGTGATCCCTGTGTGGGTTTGATTTAGCCAGACATAGCTCTTAATCTCACTGTGTATTTGAACAGAGCCTCCAGCCCTCTGCCGTATGTTTGTAGGAGCCTTGTTCCAATCCTGCAGGAGAAACAATGCAATTCATTTTCTGTCCTTGAGTCTTCCTCACACACTGCTTCACAAATGAGCATGGAGCCTGAAGCATCTAAAGAAAAAGCCTGACCATACATTTCTCTAAGTGGTTAACATGAAAAGGAAAAATGCACCAGTAAACAGTAATACCGAGATAAGCAGTGTAATTGCACACCCGGCTAGGTTCGAGGCTCAATGTTGCTGTCATTCCCCAACAGGGACACGGAGTACAAAGGACTACAGTTGTCCTTAGATCAGGTGACTTCCACTAAACCCCCGTTCACCTACAACAGCACGTCCAACCCCATCAGCGAGAACAGAAGAGTTGGCAAAAGCAGAGTCTCCCGTACCAAGACCAAAACAAGACTCTCTCCCTATTCACAGGTCAGTATCACAGAAACACCTTCCATTTGGCTGGTAATGGTATATTAGGAGCACTAGGACGATTTTCTGTTGCTGGAAAGACTTCAAATGTGATTTACACAACTAGCTAAGACATGCCTAGTCGTTCCTTAAGTAACATTTCCATAAACCAATCATTGCCTTCTAATTTTCGGTGTTGGGTTAGGGATAGGGTTAGGGCGTGGAACAACATGCAATCATTGCACTATAATTTTAAGGGTAGGTTTGAGGTAAGGTTGAGGATATATGTAGGACTCGATGATAGGAATGTTGGGTGTTGATCCAGCATCACATTATATTTGTGTAAATCACACTGTGCACAATTTCAACTTTGCCCTGAGTGATAAAGTTATAAGTTTGACAATCCCGTTGGACAAGTAGGACAGTCGTTTTACTGGAGGCACCCCACAACTACACATTTTCAGACTCGCCCTAATCAAATACACCGGAATCAGCACATTAGTAGAATCTCCAAGATATGAAATGGGTGGATCAGATAAGAGAGACATCCAATGTGTGTTCTGCTGGCATGCCTCCGGGAACAGGGTGAGGAAACACTGTATTAATGCATATTCGTTTTTTGTGCAGTATCCGGGTTTCCCCACGGATCGCTCGGAGTCGGATCAGGATAGCCCGTGGGGAGGGAGTCCACTCACTGACTCTGCGTCTCCTCAGCTTCTGGAGCAGTGTGAAGGCATAGACTCCTCATGTGTGTACCGGCAGTTCTCAGAGCCACGGCCACTCTGCTACGGCCTACCGCTGACAGACGACCATCATACCTCCAGCGACCTCTACAGCCACACTCACTCCGAGTCCTGCGAGAGGGGTTGCTGTAAGGCTGGCCGATACTTCCTGGGCACCGCTCAGCCCGGGCGAGAGGCGTGGTGGGGCACAGCCCGCTCTGTCCTTCCGTTACCCAAGACTTCGTCCGAGAACGGGGACAGTTTCGAAGGTGTGATGCCCCACATCACCTCCATCCATAGCATGCAAGGTATGTTTCTTTCAGTGGATATGTGGTTAGAAACCAAATGTTTTTAATTTTGGTTCATTCTGAGCAGAAACAATATGTTTTGGCCTTCCACCGACTCCTTTCTAAATCAAACCGAGTTATCTATAAGAACCGAATTTCTCATTTGTTAAATGAATAAATGAGAGCTGAAGAACTGAATGATTCTTGACTCATCTGTCTATAGACCAGGGGTCTCCAGCCCTGCTTTTGGAGAGCTGCTTTCCTGTAGGCTTTAGTTCCAATCATGCTTTAACACACCTGCCTATAATGTTCAAGTATAATTTTGATTAGCTGGTTCAGCTGTGTTTTATTGGGGTCAGAGCTAAAATCAAGATGATAGCTCTCTAGGAGAAGGGCTGGAGATCCCTGCTGTAGACAGTAGTTTACAAATTTGGCCTTCTGCAGCGGTGTCCAAACTCGGTCCTGGAGGGCCGGTGTCCTGTAGAGTTTAGCTCCAACTTACCTCAACACACCTGTCTGGAAGTTTCTAGTATGCCTAGTAAGATCTTGATTAGCTGGTTTAGGTGTGTTTAATTTGAGTTGGAGCTAAACTCTGCAGGACTCCAGCCCTCCAGGACTGAGTTTGAACACCCCTGGTATATTAAGCCCTTGACTTTATCCAAAGAAAAACATTGTTCATTTTTGCTACTCGAATTGCATTTGTTTCCTCATGGTAACACTGTTTTTTCCCTCTTGCAGTGAGGGGTCACTGGGACGAGGACAGCGTGGTCAGCTCACCTGACACGAGTGATTCAGGCGACCGATACCGTGGTGACCAATGCCGCGCAAGTCCCCAAGAGCCCAGCAAGATTGAGACGTTGATTCGAGCCACGCAACAGATGATCAAAGAGGAGGAAAGTCGTCTGCAGTTGAGAAAGGCTCCTACAGAAATACCTTTGGAGTCTACAAACGGTCTGGCCAAGAGCCACGGCTCGTCGTTTCACAGTACCGACTTTCCCCAGTCAGTATTGCAGAGCGTGGTGTGTCGGGGGCCGGCTCATGTTACAAGCCCCGCCCCTAGCCCTGTTCCTCTGTCCCGTCTCAGCAGCCCCATCCCTGACAGACTGGGTAAAAGTAAAGACTTCCTGCAAAGCGAGCTCTCCTCTTCTCAGCAACACCAACAGCCGCTGCCCCTGACGGGCACGTGTGCTATCTCTCCGACTCCAGCGCTATACCCCTCACACCCCCGCCAGTACCTGGAAAAACACACAGCCTACTCGCTCACCAGCTACGCACTAGAACATCTGTATGAGGCAGACAGCTTTAAAGGATACTCCCTGGGTTGCTCAGGTTCCTCCCATTACGACATGGCCACTCATCTACGCATGCAGGCTGAACAAGCACCGGGCCATAAAGGCACCTCCGTCATTATCACCAACGGCAGCTGATGCTTATCAAATCCCGAATCGCCACTCAGTGCTTCACCCTCTCACTCGAGCTAGCCTAGAATTTCTGATTTGATCTTTTTTTTTTCGTTCCTACAAATTCTACAAATACTTTTTTCTTAATTATTCATTGTTTTCTAGTAAAGTAATTAAACATCCTTAAAGCATACATTTACTTAAGAAGCAAAATTGCTTAAGATTAATTTAATTTAATTTAATTCTTTTTTATGCTTAAGGTTGTTTATGCTTTAGCAGAAAAAAAGCTAAAATAACGTAAATAAATCTTATATAATGCAATTTTGTATAAGTAAACTGATCTTATTTTAAGGATGTTAGATATTTTTACTGGAAAACATGAAAAAAATACTGATTAAGTACACAAGTGCAGTTTGTGAGTTCTTGATATCTGTGAAAGGTGCATTTGTTCATCTGTTCACAGAGAAGAGATTCCATAAAAGAGTTTGTTTGTCAAATACTTTATATACCTGATTATTACTTCTTCTTTTTTTCTTAACCACTATTATAAGCTGCTTGAATGAATGAGGATTGTCCAAATCATTTCTCAAAGTAAGAGATTTAATGAGAACCATGAATTACATGATCTCATAACAACACAGTGATATGATGGTTTGGCAAATCTACGCAGCAAACATATTTAAATTATTTTAGTTTCTGTAGTTCACATTTGGATTTGGGTTACTGAATTGTTGGGTCACAATACTTTGTGGTTAAGCTACATGTACATTGAAACTGTGGGATTTTTTATTTCTTGTTCATTCGATTTTTGTTTGTTTGTTTTTGATGCAACAATTCTACATCCATGACCTCAAGTTCCATCCAGGTTTTAGTCATTTGCCCTCTGTACCTGAGACACAGCAGTAGCGTGTTTTTAACCAGTCCATCTGTGGCACTGGGGAAACTACATTTTAATATTACAAGAAAAATTGAAGTAGCATGCTAATGTACCAGAGATTAACAACTAAGTCTAATGCAAAATGCAGCATTAATTTTTAATTGTTTAAGGTTATTGTTGGATTGAATCTTAGCTCATTTGTGTACTGGGATACTTTTTGTAGTTGCATATGCTGTCCATCTGTGTTTGGACCCGATTCAGTCAAAGGCTTGAAGATTCAATTTGAGAAATTGGTTGAGCACATTATTGTGTTATTGAGTTGAATACTTTTTTTCAAACTGGTTTTGTCCCTCTGCAAGCCTCTAACATGTCAGCCTTTAAAATGAAAACTGAGATTATGCAATTATGAAACACATCTGATTTTACTCAAACAAACGGAACAATAATAGAAATTAACTACATGACGACCTTTGCACTGGTTCGATTTGAAGGTCTGGAAATGTGTTTTTGGCCCAATGAGTGATTGACTGCTGCGGTGCTGGAAGGCTTTGAGTTGAGCTGCTGTTTGGTGTATTGAGGTTCCACACTGGAGGAGTCTGATATGAACGTTAAAGGGGGAATTTTCTGACAAACTCTACCCCGTACCTCACTCCTTCTTCATGTATTTATAAGAAACTGCCTCTGTTTGGAAAGCTGTTTTTCTCTGAGTGAGAGAAACTCTGAGAAAAAAAAAATATTTATGATGTACATACTCAAAATACCCCCCCCCCCCACCCACACCCACACCAAATAAAATGATGCAAAAGTTACAAAATGGTATTGCAAAATGTATTTATTATATGAATGAAAAATGTCTTTTGTTTCAAAATATCGCAGTGTGTGTTAATTTATAATTTTCAGTTCTGCATCTAAATTAAATGCCATTGTTTCCTTTCATGCATCACTATTTCTAAACATATAATGAGAAATATTTGAATCTGTTTTCATATTGCAGCAAAACTGTTTGGAATAACAAATTTGCTTTTAAATTTTGACATTGTTCATTGAGAACTCAGGTGAAAAAGATCTTGAAATAACAAATATATCCCTAATTTGATCATTATTCGTGTTTAATATGATATTTCATACTCGCTTGAGAAATTAATAAATGATTGCAAAGATGCTCATTCATTAAAAGGCTGCATGGATTTTATTTTTAAATGTTTATTCATTTTGTTTTTGAATCATTTTTTGGTCAATTCATTTTTGTGTCAAATTACAGCAGCTTTCAAATGATTTAATCGAAAAAAGTTAGAATACTAAAAAGACAAACACACATTAACATTAACATTTTACACCATATATTCCAATGAATACTTTATTACCTTCAGTACAATAACATCACACGTAAACAATATACTGCTGTAATTAATCTGCTTAAAATAAAGAATGAAAGGTGAAATATTAAGGTATTTAATATGAAAGGTGATGTTAAATCAAACAATACATGATGATTACGTCTTAAACCAGCAAAAAGGCTATATTTCCTATAGACAGATATTTGATAAATATTTCATGTTTTTTGATCATTGGCACTCACTGTCATAAAGCAATAAATGCTTTTCTACAGATAATGAAGATCATATCCATAATACAATGCATCTATGAAGATGTGTTTGGAGACGAGGAAGACTCTACCACTACAATAAATGACAGGCCTTATTCTATATAAACACAATTATTTATATACATATTTTTAGCAAATAATTAGAAATAATTTGCACAAATGTATTTCATCTCTGTTGTCTGTATGGTCAAATGAAAGAGCACGAGACAACATGTAAAGATTCTTGAATTTGGTAGAACTAAACTGGTTGTTCAGTTCCAGATGCTCCAGAAGACACGTGTGTGTGTGTGTGTGTGTGTGTGTGCGCGCACGTTTACACTCCAGTGGGTGTTTTCTTTTTGCTTTAGGGATTTTGTTCTGGCTGCGAATCACGAAATGAGAGTAAAACACACATTGCAGAGGACAACCATTCAGAAAGGGCTCTTTAAGAGCATCTGTCCACTCTGTGTTTCATGTGTGCTGTGAAGGAAGCTCAGGTAAACCCTTGGCCGTCCTGACAGGTGTGTTGCTGGGCAACAGTGACTAACACAGACAGCATTAACACACATCAGTGAGTGGAGCTCCATCACAGCTGCTGCAGGCCTGACTCCACATATCCGCCAGTACAACGCCACATTTCACTGCTTGTTTGCAGTGCCTCATGCAAATTATGAGACATGAAATACATTGGAAAAGTTGACATCCTTGTGTGGCTTAAGATATTCAAACTCCATTTTACATTTCACAAATTTCGCAAACAATTGCAAATAAATGTCAAGTAACACATTCAATGAAATGTGAAATTTAGAAAAACTGAAATAACATTTTCTTGTAAAATGTACTTTAATAATCTTTATTTTATATCTTTATATTTATAATTTAGTGTAATTGAGAAACTACATGGAATATGTGTGCATGAAAAATGTATTTATGAAAACAGGAAGATTTTTTGATTACAAGTGGGGAAAAAAAAAAACGGGAGCAACCAGATAAATCTTAAAATGTGTATACTGTAAAAAAAATATTTGACAAGAAAATACAAGTTCAGACTTCTAACTTTTGAGTTTAATTCAATGAGTTGATTTTAATGATTCTTTGTAATTATTTGTAAAATGTAATAGCAATATCTGAATTAAAATTATTTCTACACCTTTTTAGAGTTTAGGGTGAAAAATTATAATGCTATAAATCTCACAAATAATTGCAAAGAAACAGCATGTTTTTTTTTTTCTCTCCCCTGTTTTAAATCCTCTTATCCTATAATATTTGTTTCATTTACAGCTATTTTATCAGCTATCCAATACTACTGAACTATCTAATGTGCTTGAAATGTAACGATTTCACATTATAGTATTGCATTTGGAAGTGTATTTTAAGTTATGTTCTGCTGCATGCGTTGATATCATCCTATTCATGATTTTAGTTGCTTTTTAAAAGTCAGAAGATGCCAGCAAAATACTGAGACTTGTGTTTGAACTATTATGCCGTCCAAACTCAGAACCTTCATATTTGAAATTAATTTGTAAGCAAAGATTTTCTTGCATAAATATCAGCACACACACAAAATATGTATTTTGGACTGGAATCTGCATTAGAAAATGCTTTAATTCATGAAAATATACCCAAGCACAAATAAATAATATAATATATATAATTTAACTCACAGACACAAATATATAGCATTTCTGAGAGTCAGCTGTGGTGTCAGAGAGTGTGAATGTAAAGCATTTTTATGTCTACAAGTTGAATTGTTGCTTGTCCACACTGTAAAAATTACGGTAAAAAAACGGCAGCTGTGGTTGCCGGAATTTTACCGTAAAAAATACGGTAGCAACGTTTTAGGTTTTACGGTTTTAACTTAAATTTACAGTTAAATACCGTAATTTCATTAACTGATATAATGTTAATATACCAACCTATTGAAGTACTGAAATCTGTTTTGTACCTTTGTAATACACTGATAACCACCAAATGCAGGTGGTGATGAGAAAGTCACATGATGAACCAAAGCCCATCACAAGCAGCTTTTAAATAATAACATATATAGAAGGTGCACAGTGTCATTCACACAAACACTAAACACCATCATGGTAACACACATGAAACTGAAATAATGCAATAAACATTCATTTAACAACATTAGGTGTAACACACAACCCTAATATACAAAACTGATATGACAAAACTAAGAAGAAACATAGTTATTTCAACAAAAAAACATCAAATTTGAAATGTAACACAGGGAATTCTGGGAATGTCAAATTACGGTTATTCCCTGTAAATTAAATCCCTTTTTCACTTTCAAAAACGGTATACTAC